GGGGCCCCCGGATGCCGGGGTCCAGGGCGCTGGGTGCCGCGGCGATCGCCGTGGTGGGCGCGCTGCTCCTCCTGCGGCCGGAGGACGCGGGGCCCGGTGCTGGGCTCAGGTAACCCTGGGGGACGCCGGGCGCGCCCGGAGCTGGGGTGTCGCGGGGGAGATCCCCGCGGTGGGCGGCCAGGTGAGCGCCGGGCCCCGCACCCGGGCCAGGTGAGCGCGGGCCGGGCGGGTGACTCAGCACTTTCCCTGGGCGACGCCCCAGAGGCGGCTTCGGCCCCTCCCGGAAATGATAAACAACAGTTGTCCCTGTCCCCGAGGCAAGGAAGGCGTCGTTGTCCCTTAGCATCAAGACCCGCACCTGTCGCTGTTGTTTCCGCAGCATGGCCGAGACCCAGGCGCTGCCGAAGCTTCGGGAAGACTTCAGGATGCAGAACAAATCTGTCTTTATACTCGGAGCCAGCGGGGAAACCGGCAAAGTGCTCTTAAAAGAACTCCTGGAACAGAACCTGTTTTCCAGAGTCACGCTCATTGGCCGGAGGAAGCTCACCTTCGAGGAGGAGGCTTATAAAAACGTGGTGGGTATTTTAGCTGGGACTCAAACACGTATCACCTGCTTTGGGCTTGATTTTGGAAGGTGAACTTACGTCAGATGCAGAAGTTGAACACTGCAGGGCCAGAGGGGAAAGCAGGGCGGTGACTGATCTGCCAAGGCTCTCCCTTGGGGTCCTGCAGCCACCACCCAGGGCAGGATGAAGTAGGACCTAGGTTGCGATGGAGATGGCAGAGCAGAGAGCTGTTTTTAGTTCCTGCGAGCAGGCATTAGCGATTGTCCAGCAGCCATGGCAGTTTTGTCTACGCTATGGCTTATCTTGTGTCCCGCACACTTAAAGGAATTCTGGAAGAGATCCTGAACGTGCGTTTGTGGCTCTTGCCCTTGAAAGGAACTTTACCGACTACCTAAGTTCTGTGTTCCCGGCGAGCAAGTGATACCCCAGACTTTGATTTGGTGATATCTCCTGAAGTCCCAGCTTCGTGGAGCTTGTGATCCCTAACTGAATTATCCACGATGCAGCACATTGAGTAGAGTGGCTTTGTGGCATGGCATCTACAGAACTTGGGTGGGAAGTGGGTTTCCCAGGAAGAATATTCTGAACAATAAGCAAGCCTGCAAATAAGTGTTCTTGACTCCTTTTCGCATAGGCCTGCCTTGACATCACTTAGCTTACATCTTTGGCCTATAAAACTTGGCCTGTTTAAAACATGTTTTCTTAGGCTATGCAGGCTTTAGGTGGTCTTCATAGCCTGTTTTCTGGGCCTTGTGAGATTCTCTGGGTCATTAGACCCTCACACTGAGATTTGTGCTTGCAGAGAGTGCTCTAGGTGTTACGACTCTTGAGCAAGCACTTTAGAAAAACCTGCCTTTCTTCAGCATTTTATACAGTGCCAGAAAAGTGTTTTTGGACGAGGCTGGGAAACAGCCCTGTGGTAGAGCTCTTGCCCGGCGTGCCGGAGCTCTGTGCTCAATCTACAGCGTTGCAGCAACAACAAAAAATGATCCGAGCAACAGAAAGCTGAGATTTTATTTGAACTCCTGAGTGATGGAATTTCTCACACTTTAAGTTTCCAGACAGACTTAAAAGGCTCAAGGCAAGCTCTTAAGTTTATTTCAGTGTGCTTTAGTATTAACGTGGATCCTGTTCAGAGTGCAGATTCTGATTCGGAAGGGTTGGCATGGGGCCCAGGAATACACTTTTCTCTCATACTCTTCTGGACTGACTCTAATGCAGGTAGTTTGTTAACTGGATTGAAGGGTTTATCAGCCACATTTAACTGCTGAAAAAAAACCCCCAAAAACTGAGGCATATATGATCAATAAGTTGGTGACAAGGACTTGCGTAGTAAGTAGCAGAACCAAGATTTCAACCTTGGTCTTCTTCAAGATTCCAAAGCCCCATCTCCTATCCATACATTGTCCCTCAGAGGTCTCCTTCCTGGTAAGCTCTAGACACTTTTGTTTTTCATGAATAAATTATAACTGAACCTAATTTTATAAATATGTATCACCACTCATCTGTGTATCCATAGACATATTGGACATATTGTTGATTTCCAATTCAGACTGTGTTTTGGTGGGAGAAAATGAATTTGTGACGTTGGTCTTTGATTAGACCTGTCAGTAACAAGCTCTAGTTTGTTCTTTAGAAGGATGTTCAGTGCATTTCTTAAATAACATGAAGCTATATACTCTGTTTTCATGTTTAGAATCAAGAAGTGGTGGATTTTGAGAAGCTGGACGACTACGCTTCTGCGTTTCAAGGTCACGATGTTGGATTTTGTTGCCTGGGCACCACCAGAGCAAAAGCTGGAGCGGTAAGGCAGAAGTGCGCTGCCCCCCCCCCCGCTTTGTGCGGCTGGCAGTGTCAGGGATTCCTTTCTTGCTTCGTCTCTGTCTATGGTGGTCCTGAAATGTACGGAAGAGTCTATAGATTAAGATTTCATCTACTGCCCTCACTTGTTATACTCTGGGTAGTACTGATAAATTTTTCTTTCCTTCGGGTTCATCCTAAATTCAGGCCTGAGCGCTGGGCCCATCGTCAATGCCTACGCAGTATTACTATGGCTGTGTTTCTCCTGACCAAGGCAGTGGTGTCTGCATGGATGTGTGGCTCGTGCTGTTGGCAGCAAGCTCTCTTCATCATCCGTTGGCAGTGCCAGCACTGGTGTTTTAAACTTGAAGCATTTGCTCTCATTTGAGTGATTTAAACTCTGTGCACACCACACTTTAGACTTCTGCAGAGTAGGGAACACGATTCAGCCGGCCCTGGGGGTGACTCAGCCCTCAGCCGTGATTCAACAAGCACAAGGATGACTCAGCCTCACTGACGCAAAGCTGCTTAAACACACTATTTCTTTTTTAATGGTGTTCTAAATGAGTTACCACTTCCCAGAAGTTCAAGTTTACTATATAGTTAAAAATCATGGTTTAAAGTGTAGATCTGGGCAGGCATTAATTGCTCCTATTTAATTTATACTTTGATTGCAGTCATTGCTCTAGCAGAACTTACTTGCTAGAGCTGAGTTGTGTCTGTAAATATTCGGGGCCGTGCCTCTGCCAGAGGACTTACTGAAGGTTTGTAAGCTGTTCCTGCTGTATCTGAATCATTAAGGCTTCTCTGATTAGAAGTATTGGTTTATACCAACCAAGTGACTAGACTAGTTCTTTTCCTCTGGACACCTTGGTAGTCCAGAGGACAATGCTATTTAGCTGTCAGTTGAGATATTTCTTTATTTTATGTGCAGTTTTGCATATCCATCCTGGGGTAAGATTTTGAGCTCTGTGCTGAGATCTATGAATTACAGAGATGTTTGATTCTCCTAGGAATTAGCCCATTATTTCTAGACAGAGTCACCTTCCTGCCTTGCAGTCCTGGGGACGGTCACAATCATGGTGCCCCCTCAGAAAGCATTGGGAGACTTTTGTTGTTCTTGTACACTGCAGGCTTCACCGTCTCAAGTGCTCTCCTGGTTTTGGTGGTGACTCAGCAGAATAAAAAGCTGTGTTAAGCATAGAGCATTTGATTTGCATGACAGAAGGCCAATATCATAGTGTGCTCCGGGGAAAGCTCTGGGTCGCTTGCTGCATTCCCTTCATACGGAGCAGTTTTTATCTGAGGAATTCACTCTGGTATATTTTTTAACATAGGTTTGGTTTCCTACTTCTTAGACCACTCTGTATCTTCTGTTCACCTTTAAATTCTGTTTGAAATGCTAACGATGGTAAGTGGGAGAAGATTAGAAAGCCAGCTAGCCTCAGAAATGAGTTAGGATTTTAACAATTTAAAAGGGTGCTGGCAAAAAACCCCACACAAATTAAGATAGCATTCCATCTAGAAAAGATGGCCTCTGTCTGTCTGTCTTTCTCTCTGTCCCTGTCCCTCTCTTTAGCCTGTGGATTGAAACCTAGGCCTCATGCATGCTGAGTGAGTGCTCTTAGCACTCAGAGATACCCCCATCCCCTTTCTTGAAAAAAAAGAAAAACTAAACTAAATTAGATTGGGGGCCATATAAGGTCTGGAGGTTGTCATAGGAACTCGTTAACAGTCAGGCAAGGACACCTGTTTGGTGGGGCGCGTGCCTTCCAAGCCTGTCTCCACTGCAGTTGGGGCTCAGTGGTGCTTCCTGTAGAAGAGCTCTTCTTCATAGGCCATCAGAGGGCCCTGAGAAGCTGGCAGTGAGCTTGCATGGATCATTGAGTCACTGTTTTATAACTGGAATACCCTATTTGGCCTTGGCAGTCCGCAGCGGAGAAACTCAAAGAGATTCAGTTTCGGTCTCAGCTTCTTTTCCCCATCTTTAGAATACCAGTGTACTAGGACTGCATGTAACACTGGGTGGTTTAAACAACCACTTTGGAGGTGGAGTCCAAGAGAAAGGTGTCATTGGCGTTGGATCCTTTTGAAGGACATGCGGGAGGTATGCGTGAGGGCTCTTGCCTTGGCTTGAGGTGGCCACCACCTTTCCATGTCTTTTCACATGGTGCTGTGCTAGCGTGCACATGTCCATGTCACGTTGTCTCTTTTCATAAGGACTCCAGTGATAACGGAGCAGGGGCCACCATGCTCCTCACAACTGATTGCATCTGCAGTAATCCCATTTCCAAATAAGGTTACATTCTTAGGTACTAAGGGTTATGACTTCACCATGTGCGTTTTAGGAGAATACACTTCATAAAAGTCAATGTACTCAACAATGGTCAGAAGGGATGCCAGTGAAGAGTCTGTTAGCTTTCTTCAGCTGCGGAGAAAACCATTTCCCTTGGGCCAGTGAGATAGCTCAGTGGACTAAAGCGCCTGCTTAGGCAAGCTTAGGCAAGTTCCGTCCCCCGCACCACATGCCATGCTGGCCCTGCCCCCCAGGGTGGGCTGAGCCAGCCACAGAGTCCAGGCATAGTGGCATAAGCCTGTAATCCCAACACTGGAGAGGCTGAAAACAGGAGGATCACTAGGAGTCTGAGCTGTGTAGTGAGATCTTGTAACAACCAAATACATTAAAAAAAAAAAGAAAGAAAGAAAGAAAGAAAGAAAACCATTTCTTTGAGCCATAGCTGGTTAGATGCTAAACTTTCTTTCGTATGCGCAGGTCATATTTCTCTAGTCCACACAATGAATCCGTGGCCTCCTTCCAACCCACATCTCCAGGATCAGAATCTCTGGGGTCAGAAGCCTGTTCTGGCAGGCTCCTTGAGGGCTGACCCAGCCAGCCCTGCTCTTCTTGTTGGGCTCCTTGGGAAAGCCCTGGGCTCTGTTCATCTTCTGCATTTGTACCCTAGTCCTGGGTGATCTTCACCTTGCCCTAGTGAGTAACTGCCCTAGAGAAAGATGAAGTAATCCTTTGAAAATCAGATTGACAGCCGATGTGGTAGCATACGCCTTTAATCCCAGCATCCAGGAGACTGAGGCGGAGGGTCGCCACAAGTTGGAGGCCAGCCTGGGCAATTTAGTGAATTCAAGGTCGGCCTGGGCTACGTCATGAGAGCCTATTTAAAAAAAAAAAATCAAAAAACAAAGCAAATGAAACAAATTAGACCACCATTGGGCTTGAGTGAAAAGCAAAATTCAAAGATAACACTGTGAATAACGCATTTCCCTTAAAAAATGTTTTTATTAATACATGTTTGCAGTACGTAATGTTTACAGTCATATTAAAGCATAGTACATGTGCTTAACGTATCGTTGTAGTGTGAGAAGGCTTTGGTTAGTAACAGGGTGCGAGTTCTCCTGTGCTTTAGTCTCCTTACCCGTCAGCAATGGGCTCCAGCAGCCCAGCTTCTTAGATTCTGCCTCACGGATATTAAGTAAGGTGATTGATGCATCCATTGCAGCGTTTGTTTTGGCATTACCAGAATCATATGGCTTCTGACTATGATAATGTATTCTTTTAAAAAAGGAATAGGTAAGCCACTACGTAGGGGCCAAATGCAGCCTGTCACCTGTTTAATGTATCACCTACAAACTTCTTTCTTTGTTTTTTAGTATTTATTTATTTGGTACAGGGTCTTGCTGTGCAGCTCAGACTCAGTGATCCTCCTGTCGCAGCCTCCCCAGCTCTGGGATACAGGCATGTGCCACCACACCCAGTTTCAGGGCTGGCATGGCATGTAGTACCAGGATCGAACTCTGGATCTTGTGCTTGCCTGGCAAACGTTTAGGCCGCCAAGCTATCTCTTCAGCCCTCTATCTTAAAATGATTTTAGAAAGTTAAAAAAAAGTAATATTGTTCCAAGTAGAACTATAAGAAACTCAAATTTATATTCTGAGGGTGGTGGTGTATGCTGGTATTGCCAGCTACTTAGGAGGCTAAGACAGGAAGCCCATCAGTCTGTACAGCATAGCAAAAAGAAAGTAAGGAGGAGCTGGGGAGATGGCTGGCAAGT